ACGTACTTTGAATGCTTACGCAGGTGCAGCAAGCTGACTTGCATTTACCCAGCTGCTAACTGTTCGGCGCATGCTTCATCTAATATTATCGCCTATAATTATATTAAACCTTCCGTCCCGCCCCCGCTGCCGCTCCTCCTCCCCCGACTAGTTTCGACAGAAACAGTCTTTGCATACATTCACCACATTTATAGTCACATGAAACGTCGTTCGTCGATCCTTACATGCTTTTCATTCAACAAATCATTCGACACTGGGTCTTCATCTTCATCTACATCCTCATCCTCACAACTCTGCGCATTCATTACTTTTCCAGAGTAAGTTTTTACTCGTACTAAACGGTACATTAAACAATGAATTAAAACTTAGACTAATAGTCATGCATGTTGTTATTAGATGTCGTTGTCAAAACAAGTCTGAGCGAACCGAGCTCTTGCACTTACAACTTCACTTTCTCATCACCGGTTTACTCTGCTGCAACTCATGAAGCCCCAACCTTTCCAGTTTTTGAATGGGCCACATTAAAACAGCAATTTTCAGGACAGTTTCACAAAGACCGGTTTGTTAGGTTAAGTATATTTCAACAAACTTAAAACTTGTCTGCTGAAAAGTAAGCATTGCTACTGACATAGCTGTCAAGGGCGTCTCTTGTTTTTATGTAGCATTGTGGCTCTTGATGTTTGTTTGGCGAAGGACATGGCTTACTGGAGTGATACTACGGTTCAAAAGATGGTTCGGAGGAACTGACAGCGATGAACGCCAGGTCTTAAACTCTCAACTAAGTTTTACTCTTTCGACAATTAGCTGGTTGTTGCTTGTGAAATTAATCATCACAAATGGCGAGTGCGATACACGCGATGATAGCTGCTGGACAGACAGCTGCCGGACGCGCGAAAGCTGGCTGGACGGCCAAGCTGGATGCTGCACTGCATTCTAACCACTTCAGCATCTAATGCTATACCTGCATTGAAATTTTACTAATGTGTGTTGCAGAAGTTTCGACATGCCTGTTTAAACTTGGCATCGCTCAAGGAACGTTTCAAAAGTTAACAGTGCAGAAACTCAATCGTCAGCGTTGCCGAAAGGTCCCCTTTACTGCAGCGTCATGCATCAGCCAGAAAACTAAGCAAGTTTTCGCCTGATGATCTGCATAGCTTTGTTTCGATGAATTGACTGAAGTGCCTCTTGCTGATGCTGTGGCATTCGATCTCGAGACAGCTTGAAATGCGAACTTTGGTAGATTTTTTTAAAGACTATATGACATCTTTACATTCCGGTTAACGATCGCAGTCACGTCGATACATTCTTGAGGGACGGCAGTGGCAAAACGAGTTACGGTGACGAAATAAAGCACGATGAGTGCGTGCTTTGCACTCACGGGTACTAGATTCCAACCTAATGTGCGGCCAGAAATTTTCTCTTATTGACCGCTAATTCCATTGAAAATGAAAATGTGACCCCACTATGTGCTTTGTGCAACGAGCGGCTTGCTGTTGGCTTGTGAACAGCGACTGCATTGCATTCTGGTCTGACACTATCATAATGTTAAACATGGAGCCATGCTACATGACAGGTGCACCTTAAAGTTGTAATTCGCTTTGACCCACCTGATAGCTGACTTCAGCATAAGGAGATATCAGAAAATGATCGATAGAAAACTACACGTTATTGACGTTATATGCATATGGAGGGAAGTGGGGGGGGGGGAAGGAGGCGAACATGTTTTGGTCGCGGATGATGGGAGTGACGTTAGTTGCCTAGCGTCCCTCACGGCGTTCTTGCTATTGCGTAAGTCGGCGATAGTCTGGAAGCGAAACATGCAGGTAGCTAAAGCCAGTGATTAAAGAAGTTTGCTTGCAAATGACGTTCTACCAATACGCCGTGCGCGTCAAAACAGTTCGCTACGAATAGTGTTGTCTCTGAGCAGTCGCCACCGGCGTCTTGGAACGAAAATTCCTCCGGCCGAAACGTGCTGACTCGAGCCAAGTGTTCAGATACCTCGAATAAGTTGACCAAATGCGATCGGTGCCAAGCCATCTGTTGGCAGCACTGCTGATCGACCGCAGGCGCTATGCCGCCTGGCTGCTGATCTTTCGGCTTTACACAGCATATCGGATTGTACCTCAAAGCTGCGTTTCTGGCCTCTGATCGGTCGTACGGAACTGAACAAGAAGAACATACGCAGAGTGTTCGGTGCCAATGATCGACCTCTTCGCATCCTTCGTTCTTTTCGCGTGCTCTCCCTAGCATTGATTGTTCTTTCAATCAATTCAATCATTATCGACTGAAACGTCGCTATTTTCTGCTAATGCTTTCAAGCGTATAGCGGTACCGTATTCAGTGCAGTTAATTTATTCATACCAGCTCACCTTGAGAAACTGATCCGAAGCAAAGGTTACAATTAAACGCTAACACTTGCGTTTTGTCTTAACTGATGCGGTGTCACTGATTTAACGCAACTTGTCAAACCGCCGCCGTTGATAACCCTCGAAAATTCATGCCATATTAAATCAGCTATACACCAAACAATTCTCACTTTTTGCCTTGAAGCTTAAATGCTAGAAACGTTTATCGATTCCAGAACGAAGCTTAGAAGATTGGAATCTGAGTAATCTCAGCTTTGCACGTGAAGTAATTATTAGCCGTTATGCATTTGCTGAAAACCCCTATACCCAGAAGCAGTAATGGTTGCGTTTTGTTGAAAAACGTTGCCGCTTGTTTTTGTAGACAAATATATAAATTAACAGAACGGTTTTGTTTCTGCCATACTTTAAACAGCTTCAGTGATCTTCAGTATCCAACCTCTCATCCAGTCGTGAGAACTGGGGGCAAAGTCCTGCGTAATGGAATGCTTGGCAGGACGAAATTCGGCGGAATACATTTTTCTCTACCCCCGGTTGTCGTGGGAACTTGTCCTGAGCCGTGAAACGGGCGGCTAGTGACGCTTTGTTTCAGACAAGTGGAATTTTTTCCGGTAGCAGAAGCCGGTCAGGATTTGTCATTAGGGCCAGAGTTTACCGGTAATGAACCAGGAATATGCACCTCGAATTCACACCGGCTATGAATAGTAGTCTAGACGTTAGGGTAGGCATGGGCAGACCACATGGCTTGTTGGAAAACTACCTTGGATAAGAAATAAACGGTTTGGAACAAACGGTGCGACCGCTTGAAGCAATGGCTTTAGTTGCACAGGCAATACAACAGTAAGCGCTGACCACACAAACGGTTCCGCACTGGCAATAGGTAAGAAGACAGAAGGAGTTCTCGTGCACTGGAACGGTAGCATGTTCAATTCAGGGAGGCTCACTTTCTGCTATAAAGTATTTGGAGTTAGGAGAATTGTTTATGTTGCAGCTGTGGCACAGCCATTTAAATTCCATGGCACGCTGAGCTCGTTACTGTATAAATGTTTCCCAATGATCTGTTGAACGGCCTGGATTATTTCGGTGCCAGAGTGGGAATATAGTATGCATTGTTCTGATCCCTTGGATAATGCAGTATGGGAGAGATGGACGACAACAGTGCACGACTATCAGAACCGTTAGAAATGCACGAGCTACTTGTCAGCGGCACATGGTTCCATACACATCAGCCGGTACGAACACATGATGCTCCCCGATGCATAAAGGCGAAACTAGATTCGTTTTGCTCTGACCATCTGAAGCTTTCGAACATGCTTAGAAGACGTCAAAGTGTACAAAATTGCTGGATGCGACGACTGTCGTGGTAAAAGTCAAAATCGAACTCCAACCCTGAATGACCAGCAAAAAAACTAGCACGAAGTCTATAATCGACACGTTCAATCGCCCGGAAGTACCTGAATCATATCAGGTCATAATTGATAGCAAGATGACAACTTTAGACCATTTATTGATTATATAAGTGACACTTCTGAAGAACGGTTTTTATGAGCGCAGGGTGGCTCTAGCGAACAATGTGATGCGAGGTGCACCTGGCACTGACGAGGCTCAAATATCATGTAGACGTGGCCTCATTAAATGCCTGCGGACAACACGTAGCAAAGGGGCGGTGAAACGCGCCCAAAAA